TTTGAGTTTTGAGGTTTGGATTTTCTTTTTCTCCACTTTTTTACTGCTTTCAGTTTTCAATGAGTTTTGGGTATACAATCACACATAAAAAGCCAATTGGCAAGAAAGAGATCTAAAGATTGGTCCGTTGAGCACCCTTCTATTGATAGGATACACGGGTCAAAAGGAAAACTTGATTTCAAAGACGAAGTTGGTTTGCTCATTGAATTGTTGTGGTGCTGTAGGAGTCTCGACCTCCATCTCCATCCGTGCAAGAAAGAGACATAATTTGTTGAGGCAGGTGGGAATTTCAACAACTCAAAGAAAAGGACCTCTCACCACCACACCACTTCCAACTAAAGGTTTGATGCCAATATGCTGACTTCCTAGAAGTGAAGGGTAGTACTTTCTGCCATTGGAAAACTGGTGGGTGCATTCCAGCAAGTCGTATTCCACTTTTAAAGACTAGAAAAACCTTAATATCGATCACATCTGTTGTAGCAAAAACAGATTGATAACTTTCAATATGGGCTTCGACTCCGATAGTGGAATACATTACGTTTCTATAAGCCCTCACTACATTTTGGTACAAAATTAAAACTTAAGAGCTAGGTTGATAACCAATTCGTTTTAAGTTTTTAATTTTATTTTTAATTATATAGATTGATGAAAAATATGTGATCTGAAGATTAATGAAGATAGGCGAAGGATAGATGGTGAAAGCAGTATGAATCGATGTTCTAAAAAGCAGTCTAGACAGCTAGCCAGCACCACGATTAATTACTAAACGGTTAGAAAATCAAGTATGGCATCTACGTGGGTCTAGGCAGAATAAGTGTTAGTTTTGTTTTAATTAACTTTGAGTCTTGACTCATCCTTTCCTAGACAAAAAAAAGGAAACCAAGAATGCGATGTGGTCGTCTCTCTTTGCGATAGTTCTTTGATGTTTTCAATAAATTGTAGTACTTTATATAATTTATTTATATTTATATTTTTCATTTTAAGTTTCCCCATTACAATTATAATTTTTACTTATTTATTTTTTTTTAAATATATATATGCACTTATTTGTATGTCATATAATAAATTTAATTAAGATAAAAAAAAACCTTAGGCCACTGGTTAGAACCCTACCCGCCGCTCGATAACGACCTAGCGATATTTAACACATTGGTGTGAATGGAATATGTTTGGAAATCAAACACAAAATTTCTTGATTATGCTCCCTCAGCTGATTATCAGAATGCCCTTTTGATTATTCATTTGAATGGTGTAAGGCCCAAGTTTGGATGTTATAATCCACAACCCTTAGGTTCCATAAACTTTCCGGAGGCCGGATGAGGCGCTAGACTTCCAGGTTAGGGGTCCATGTCCCCATGTTCATAGGCCGCCTATCGTAACCTTGCTAAAGGGCTCGATCCTCCTAAGCTGCTAACCGAACATGACGAAATGGGCTAAAAGAAACACCTCTAATACCACCAATTTGAATTTTTTAGATTCTTCTAACATCATATATATTGATAAGTAAATATGGATGTAAATGAATTTGTAAAAAAACAAATGAAATGACTGAAATTAATCCTTGCGATGTAATGAAAAAATCCTTTTGATAACCATGCATCAGTTTTGGTTATGTTGGAGTTTCTAGAAATGAGGAGTTGGTTAATTAAACTAGAATAGGTTAGGTGGTTTGCATCCAGTGTGTTATTAGTTAGTACGTTAAAGAAAAAACAAAACTAAAAGACCAGAAAACTAAAGTCAAAAGAAATGGGTTTCTTTACCTTCTGCACTCCTAAATTTAGACCCATACCCGCTCCTTGAGTTGTTTATAAATATGATCTCCGTTCATCCATTCCATAAATCAAACAAATATTTGTAATCACTTTTCATCAATTTAAGAAACATACACCTTGAGAAATGGACTCCTCAATCGGATATGCAACTTTCATTGCATCATTGCTCTTATGTCTTTCATCGTCTCCAACACCATTTGCAAATGCAAGAGCGTCTCCATTAATTAGAAGCGTTTGCAAGCAAACCCAAGACCAATTCGGCTACAACTACAAGCAATGCGTAAAATCTCTTTGGAAAGATATTCTAACTCGATCAGCATCTAATCTCAAAGATCTTGACACATCCATTCTTAAATTAGCACTAACAAATGCACAACAAAGCAAAGCTTTCTTTGTCAATGCGCTTAACACCACCGGCAACAATATTGTTAAGGGCTCCGGAGCAGTAAAACAATGTGCAGATTCATATGATTTTGCAGTAGACGGTTTCGCTTTCTCAATGCGAGGGATCAAAGATAATGACAAATCGGTCTCCCAAATACTCACACAAGTACAAGAGGAAATTGTTCGTTGCGGAAAAGCATTGACCTCTACCGAAATTGAAATTCCTTATTTAGTATCTTCGACAAACTTTTTGACCATGTTATATAGGGATGTATCATTCCTCATTACTTCCCAGTTATTCCATATCTAGAAAAGATACATGAACAATGTATTAAATTTAGTACGCATTACTTGAATACTAAATCATATACATATGATTACTCTATATTTATTGGTAAAAGAAAATAAAATGAAAAATTATTGTAAGAAAACAAAAAGTTGTTTTAATATTGAATCCTTCTGTGTTGCCCTTTTGGTTGTATATTAGACATATACCCAAATATACCACATGTTGAATTCTTAAGAACACAATTTGCTATGCATCTTTAATCTTGATAGCATCTTTAATCTTGACAGCATCAATGGAAACTTTCAAACTATAATCTTTTATTGATTATTCAAATTTGAATAGATGAAGAAAAAAACACATGGCAATGTGCATATATAACCATGATAGCATTTCCGATAACCGCACAACATGGTGTCACATTGATACTGATACAATTACACTTTTGAGTTTTGAGGTTTGGATTTTCTTTCTCCACTTTTTTACTGCTTTCAGTTTTCAATGAGTTTTGGGTACACAACCATACCAAAAAAGGCCAATTGTCAAGAAAGAGTTCTAAAGTTTGGTCACGTCGAGCACCCTTTCGTTGATAGGATACACTGGTCAAAGTGAAGACTTGAGTTCAGAGACGAAGTTGGCTCGCTCATTGAATTGTCACGGTGTTGTGGAATCTCGACCTCCATCTCTATTTGTGCAAGAAAGAAACAGAATTTGTTGAGGCGGGTGGGAATTTCAACAATTCAAAGAAAAAACTGCATTCCACCACACTACTTCCAACTCAAGGTTTGGTGCCAATATGCTGACTCTCCTAGAAGCAAAGGGCAGTACTTTTCACCATTGGAAAATTGGTGGGTGCAATCCAGCAAATTGTATTCCTCTTTAAGAGACTAGTAAAACCTTAATATCGATGACATCCGTTGTAGCATAAATAAGTTTCAATTAGATCTTATTTCTTTTATGGCTAACTCATGACTGCATGAATTTGACGGGTGGTGTTGGAAAATATAAAGAAAGGTATTTTAGAGATTTGATTTGATATGATTTAATTTTATTTGGTCTAGGTTTCCTTGTCTTGTGGACAATGATTGTTTTGATTTATTTCCTAGTATTCCTTTTTTGTAATCTTATAAATACCTCCTTATGGAGAAGAATAAAATATTTAAGTTTTATTCGAGAATTATGAGATTGTAGAGAACTCCAAAGTTATCTTAAATCCTTTATTTTCAAACACACACACAAAGCAAAGTTTGTGTGAGATACGTTCATTTTGTTATAAATCAAACAACTGAATTGCTAGCTGAGAGTAAAACTAATGTAACAAATAGCCGAACGAAATAGACCTAAGGAATATGAAAGGGCGCAGCAGTAGTTTACAGATTAGGCGTCTGTGCTCCGTTTTGGGTCCATGATACCTTGTCGAAAAGAGCGGGGCGTCCTAGTTTAAATTCACTGGTTTGCTATGATATATTGATGGATTTTAGGGCCGTTTGGGCTTCCAAAACTACATTTTAAATTTTGTAATAAAAATCCGATCTTTCTATTTAAGTATGATTAATGTTGTTCTTATTCCCAAAACCCTTGAGCCTTTCCGAGGCTGTTTATAGGTCTATTTAAAGTCATTTGGCTCCCAATGTAATGCATCAACTTAGAAAAAATCCAGACAACCTTTTGGTTTTATCCCAATCTCTAGCGGATTCCACAAACCTTTGTTCTTCAAGATTTACATTTGTAATCCTTCTATGCTCGTGCTGCATCAAAAACTGTTTAGCTGATTCGAAATAAAATGGAAGCCATATATAGAATTGTGTTATTTAGGGTTTTCCTCTGCTTGTTTTCAAGGGCCGTTGATGTGAAAATTAAGGAGAGTGATTTCTACACACTACATATGCCCTTGTATTTCTGATCTTTGGATTAAATAAATGAAAGGAGAATCAAGGGACCATAAATAAACAAGGATTGCAGAAAAAGAAAGCGTTTGCGGAAATATTTTCCCAAGATATTAATGCTTCCCAAATGGATATGATACTTGCTAGAGAGTTGATTAAAGATACTCTGTTCTTCTGTATAAAGCTTCAACTAACTTTAGGAACGTTTGGTTCTCATAAAAAGCTTTAGAAAATAGCAGATGAGCAAAACCAGAATATGGGAAAGTGTGCATAAAAATTTAACGGGGGTGTTAAAGTTTTACACTGCAATCTGTTTGAAATAACTCGAGTTAGCATCCTTTTGGATCCAACTAATATCGCTAAACTACTTAATACTCATTAGTTTCATAAACAAAAAAATTGGATCCAAGATGGATACCAAACAACCGTTCCTTCATGACCATCCCTTGTGACAATCTGTATATATTTTTCTGAAGGGTTCCATCTGTTTGCTGAAGGATTTACTGTTCTTAACTGATCAAGCGGCACCACCACCTACGTGAGATTAACTAACTTGTTAGACGAATGAAAAACTTAAGAATTCGAATTTTATGTCCACTATAATATCTACCTGGTAATGCATGAGAGTTGGATTTCCTGGGCACAAATAGTAAGAGAAATCGCTGCAGAAGGCTATTCGTTATCGGAGATGTACAACATCCCAATCACAGGTCCATGAGAAGTTGATAGATAGCAAGCATATGAATGTAAGAGCTTTTCTCCTGTCATATTTTCAAATGTTTGCTGAAACACTTTTTCTTCTGCTTCGGCAGTAAGCACCTTTGTTCCGGTATTTAGCCTTGCCATCATTACGTCTGTGAAACTCGGGCACGTTCTCACTGTGAAACTCGGGCACGTTCTCACTGTCACGAAATGAAGATTGATTAAGATCAATCAATTCAAAATTTCTGTAGGCTCTACCAAGAAAGAAAACTTTAAAACTTAACAAATTGGCATTTTTCTTCTATTAAACTTGATAGCAAGGGAGAAATTAACATAGGAATTCATTTAGAGAGAAACTCACGGTGGTTCCAGACATTGTCCGCCTTGGCCTCTGCTCTTCTGGTGGCAACTTCAACCATTTTACCGCACTGGCACAATGCCTCAACCATATTAGCCATCGGACCAGCAGCAGAAAGTAATAAAAATTAAAAATAAAAACGATCATCCGAACTTATTTGTGGTTGCAAATTTCCGCCTTCTTCTTCTTGGACGAAAATGCACTTGCAAAATAATTAACATCTTAGGTCATGGTCAAGAGCCTCACGCGCCCACGATGAATGGGGGGAGGGAGGGGGGGCTTTGGCCGAAGAACCTCTGAGGCCAAAGTTAGAATTTGATAGAGAAAATGTTTAGAGAATTTTTGGAGAATAATGAACTTAGATTTTTGGGAGAAATGGGAACTATTTATAGGGGTGTGGCCGGCCCCTATTTGGAGTAAAGCGGTCCGGCCACTTATGGTGGTTCCGGTGTAGCTCGAGGGTAATTTTGTCATTTTCACCCAAAAGTACACGTGTCGCCTCCATAATTTTCTTGATTATTTTTTACTCCACAAATGCCCCCACACCTACTGGGCTGCTCGCAGGAAAGGGCAACATGTGTAGAGATCTCTAACTTTGATGCAGATTCTCACTTGGACTTGGAATTAGATTCATCTAGGAAAGGGAAATAAATCGCCTCCAAAGCCTATTTAAGCCTACCTTAAGTAGAGGATTAAATCAACTTCGGAGGGCAGTTATTTATCCCTACAAGAAAGAGAGAAAGCTAGAGGATATTTGTTCCACCTCCCCTAGCACTCTTGTTTGCTTGTCCGTACAAAAAACTATCTTCTGTTGATTTCTTTGTCTTCTCCGTGTCGCACCGATGTAAGAAAAACAAAATTCTCCTTGTCTTTTTCTTGGGTGGTGCTGCCACGGGGCAGCTGTCGAGATGGTGTGGCATGTCGATTGATAGAGGCCAGGAGTTGGCTTGGCATGGACCAAAGAGGTGGTATGGTAGGGGCCATTGTTTATGCTGCTCGGCTTGACTAAAGCCAAGGACTGGCTCGACATGGGCCGAGGAAGTGGCGTGGTATGGGCCACGGTTTGAGCTGTTTGCCAAAAATGAGGAAACTGCTTGAGTTTGATTTCTCAACTGTAGTAGATGAAGCAGTAAATGATGGAGCTGCCAAGATCGAAGCTGCTAAAGATGAAGTGTCAGATGAGCGAACTATTGAGTGCAAAGTGGCTACTCCTCCTCACCATTTGCTGCCTATTTGGTCTTCAAGCAATCGGTCTTTTGAGTTATGTGGCTTTCTCGCACTGGAGAGCTTACCAGATGGGTGTCGGGGAATTAGTTTACCCTCTCGCACTTATATGGGTGTCGGGGAATTGGTTTACCCTCTCGCACTGGAGAGCTTACCAATATAGATGTCGGGGAATTGGTTGACCCTATCGCTGGAGAGCAATTAGTTTATCCTCTAGCACTGGAGAGTATACCCAGATGGGTGTCGGGGGATTAGTTTACCCTCTCACACTGGAGAGCAATTAGTTTATCCTCTCGTACTGAAGAGCAGACCCATATAGGGGTTTGAGCAGTTGTTGTAGACAGCAATTGTGCCAGGCTTATGAATAACTTCTTGAATCTTCATTGAGAATAAAGAAATGGATCAACTGTGCAGGAAGGTAGAAATTGCATAACAAACTGGGTAATCCTCGGCTTGCGAGGTTTTGTTCGTCGAGCTGCTTGAGACTTCGAACTTATTTGGAAAAACCCTAACGGGGCTTAGGAGGTGATGGAGATTTCCCCTGCTTGTGTAGGCCGTGTCGTTAACCTGTCAAGATACTTGTCCCACCGGCCTTTATTTGTCAGCTTCTCAAGGTACTGCTTCTACTTCTAGCAGTCGTTGGTAGTGTGGCTTGGTCCTTGATGGAATGCGCAATACTTTGTCTGATTTAGCCTGGTAAGATCGCTATTCATAGGTGGCGGCAGTTCAAACCAAGGTTCATTCTTGAGCTTACAGAGAATTTGGCCAATTGTAACTGTGAACTTGGCGAATGTTTCGGGCACTGAGTATTCTCTAGTTGGGGGATGCTTCTTTTCTGACTTGTTTTTGTTAGGCTGCTTGGCCTCGTCCCATAGTGCGTGCTTCTCCGCCAAAGCATATGAAGCTACCAAGGTCAGTTCTTCTCCCATGATCAATTTTTTGAAAAAAAAGGTGTTCGGTGGGAAGCCCATTTCTGAATGATGTCGTTGCTATGTCTTCGTTGCAACCAACAATCTTGTCTCCCAATAGCCTTTTATGATGCTGAAAAGATGATCAGATGTCATTTTGATTGAGCGGTTAGATGAATATTCCTAAGTGAAAACTAAGGAAAGTTCATTGAAACTCTGGATCAACTATGGCAGCAGGGTGTGAAACCAGTCTTGCGCGTTGCCTTGTAGAGTTGTGGCAAAATTTTTGCACATAAGCGCGTCGTTGTTCTTGTAGAAGATCATGGTGCTGCAGTAGTGCTTGAGATGTTGGTCTGGATCTTAGTCACCTTTATACGGAGTGAAGTGAGGCATACTAAACACGCGAGGTGGATTTGTTTGCTCAATCTCATCCGTGAATGGTGACCTGCTTATGTTAGTCATGTCTCGTCAAAACGCATCGTTATTAGCCTTGTTGCGCTGGAAATCGCGCAATCATTCAATCATGAGCCTCTCAACTTCTTCTTGAATTTGCCTCTACTGGGGCAATGGAACTTTCGGCTGCCCCCGATTGTGACCTATTAGTCTAAGTTGCTATTCCCTTTGCTCGACTCGTCTGTGTCGTGGCTGTAGTGCATGTGGCACGTCACTGGCAAGTGAGCGGGCTGTTTGCAGGCTGACGGTTGAACTTGAGCTGGATTGAGTGACTACTTCTCTCAATCCGCCATGCTACCTACTCCGATGTGAGAGGGAGAATACTCATTGCGAGCTTAGTTGTGAATGAACACTTGGCTAAGGTTATCCATGTTGATAATTAGAGTGTAGCCTTAACCATGAACGTATGCTAGTCTGTAGGCTTAATCGGGAGTGCACGCTCATTCGCCTACTAAGATGAGAGCATATGCTATCTCGAGGATCCAGGCGGGAGAGTAAACTACTAGAATGCTTGGATAGTGGCTGGTTGATGGGCCATTTGCCGGGACGCTGCTGGAGAGGTTCGTCATCTACCCTTGTCATGCTTCGGGACACCTCGTCTAGAGCACGTTGCATCTCGGTAGATTGTAAGAGCTGATTCACCAAGGTTGTCTGCTATGCGAGGGCGCTTGTCAACAATATAACTTGCTGTGACAAGTGTGGTTCGTCTTTCGGGTTGGAATACCTTGGACAATATGCGTCTCCTTGAGTGGTGGAAGTCTAATGGACTCCAAGCGCAAGATTTGAGTTAGGAAATGTCAAATCTACGGAGAAATGGGGTGAAAATGTCCCCAGTTCAATCATCAGTCCAAAAATCTGAATCCGGGGTTGTTGAACCGGTCGGGATCGCCAAGTGAGCCACGGGAGCGGGTTGGGCCACGGAAGTGAGCAATGCCATATGCAGGGCACGTGGGCGGGGTGCGGTGCTGGGAATGCATTGGATTTGGGCCGAGGGAATGGTCAGCCCAACTCGGGCCTGCAATGCGTCTTAGGCCTGCACTGTTTGGGTAGTGGTTTGGGCCTGCTCGCGCTGGGGTTGGATCGACTGCCTTGTAGCGTGGGCTGTAGATTGGGACGCCTGTTAGGCTACTTGCGCAGCTGCTGCCAACGCCTAAGCTTGGGTTTGGTCTTGGGTTTGGGCTGCTGTAGTGGCAGCGCATAAAACCATGGTTTGCTGCCATGAAGCTGGCCTACTCCCCACTGCCACGGTGGTCCCCGTGGCTGCCATGGTGGCAAAATTGCTCATCTTGCCATCGCGTTGAGCTTTGTGGATCGTCGTGGTGGGGCTACATCGTAATCTCCATCACTTGATCCGGATCTTTGAACGTAGGAAGTTTCCTTCTTTGTGGTTTCCAAATTTCTTGTCATTGTACTTTTCTTTTAAGTTTATTCAACAAAAAATTTACATGAAAAAATTCTAGGAATAAGAACCTACGAAAAATCTACGAATGAACAAAAAATGAGAAACCTTGAATGCGAGAGTTTTCTTCACGCGTGTGAATCAAACTGTCAATGAAAGCACCAATTTGTGGTTGCAAATTTCCGCCTTCTTCTTCTTGGACGAAAATGCACATGCAAAACAATTAACACCTTAGGTCAAGGCCAAGAGCCTCACGCGGCCACGATGAATGAGGGGGTTTTGGCAGAAGAACCTTCGATGCCAACATTAGAATTTGAGAAAGAAAGTGTTTAAAGAATTTTTGGAGATGAATGAACTTAGGCTTTTGGGAAATATGAGAGTTATTTATAGGGGTGTGGTCGGCCCCTATTTGGAGAAAAGGGGACCGGCCAGTTATGGTGGTTTTTGGGTGTAATTGCAAGATATTATGTCAAAATAATATCTTGCAATCAATTAGGAAATTAATTTAGGTAATTAATCCTAATTTGAATGAATAATCGAGGGTTACCTTGTGGGGAGGACTTGACGAGGATGGATGAAATAGATTTTGAATAAATACTTATTTTGATCACTTTTGACCTTAATTGAGTCGTGAATTTCCGTTGCTTGTTCCTGGAAGTTCCGGTGTAGCTCAAGGGTAATTTTGTCATTTTCACCCAAAAGTACAAGTGTCGCCTCCATAATTTTCTTAATTATTTTTTACTCCACATTATCTGTGTGAGACTTAATGAAATGACGTAAAAAAAAAAAATTTATTCGCATATATCAAACTATAGTTGAGAAACGTAAGAAGTCAAGTAGCACTAAAATTTAAAATTTGGTACTTTTATAAGCATGGATAAAACTAGAGCACAAAAGTTTCCCACAAGAAATTTCTTTATCAGTTAAATTAAGGCTAACTAATGATCATTATTATAATCGAAGGATTGATTGTTAAGAGAACTGCGTAAAGAAACAAGGGAACAACGAAAACACTAAAGCTTGGCAGAAGAATTCGATGTCACCAGAACAGGCGAATAATGGACATAAGGATTGTTTGCCTGGGCTGTGCCTGGAGTTTCAGAGGGACGACTATTC